AATCACAAAATACCTCCCTGCCTCACAAGAAATTAAAACTCAGAAGTTGAAAGCAATTCAGACCTGAACACTGTGGGAAGGACTGGGAAGGTTTTGCAGCCTCTCTGCTCTGACCCCAGACGCTTCCACTGCTCACAAGGGACATTTTCCTTCTGTGCACTGTGGCCATGGAGATCTCCGGTCCTTCCAGAGGAGAAGGAGTGACCAAGAATGGCACAGACCAGGCCAGTTTGACCTCCAAAATGGGACTAAATCACTCCATTCTAGTGCAGGTGGTACTTCCCATCCCATCAGTGGAAGGGTCACGTTGGATGTGGATAAGGAAGCAGCTGGCAAAGAGCTCCAGAGGCTGCTGGAGTCAGGAAGAACTTTGCTCAGGATGCTGAGAACACTCCAAGCTCCCCAAGCCCATTCCCATGTCTGATAATGGCACAGTTCACTGCACAACCCCACGTGTCCCACAGAGCATCCCAAGAGCTCCAGGTGAGCCAGGCACAGGGAACCAGTTCCCTGCTCAGCACCTGGACTCAGCTCCTCCCTGTCAACCAACAGCTCCAGCTTCTCCCACCACACCAAGAACTCCCAGTGTCCCTCTCCTCCCTTTCTGGGAGATTTAAGAGTCATGAGCTCGCCCTCCTCCCCAGGTTCACCTCACACACAGGTGACTAAGACAGAAAGTGAAGATGAAACACGGAATACACAGTCCAGGGATCAGCAACAGGCAAACAGGGAGCTGGGTGCGAGCCCAAAGCTGGGAGAGGAAGCAGAGTGCAAGGACAAAGCCCTGGGGACTGCCATAAACAGGTGGCTGGGGAAGTTCCACATCTCCCAGAAAAGATCCCTCCCTGCCCTGTGGCTTGGCAGGAGATTCCCAGACCAGAAAATGGGTTTTAAACCAAAAAAGAGGATGGAAATTGAGAAAGTGTGGCCACTCTGCAGCTCCAAGCACCTGGAGAAGGGAATCCTACCCTTCACTGGCAGCAGGGCCCCTGACAGAGATGGTTTTCCTAAACATCTGTACTGGACAACTTCAGATCCTCTTTCCTCTCCCTCTGGAGAACTTCCTGCCCTTTCCTCTTGCCTGTCCCTCTCACACAGGTTTCTTTGGAGGAGCTGAGCTCTCTGTACTGCAGATCAGAGCAGAGGCAGTTCTGTAAGATCACCGTTCCTGAGCCCACAAAAAGAGACAGAAGCAGAGCAAGAGTTTGCTTTCAAGTTCTCCTCATGAGCTCTCCCTCCTGACAGCTGAGCTGTGGCTCATCATGATCTGAAAAAAAGTGGAAAATTCTTCATTCCCTGAGCAGTTCAGAGCTTAAGGAGTTTAAACTTCAGGGCTAAGCCTCTGCCTACAACAGAAACAGGCATTAGCTGGGCTGCAGGAGGTCAGGGGGGAAGAGGTGGGATAAAATAGGAAGTTACAGACTGTAACTTCAGGGTTGTGCCAGCAAACCCTTTGCCCTCTGTGATGTTGGTTTTTTCCTCATTACGAATTTTTGGGTTGCTCATGAATCCTGCAGCAGACGAACCCCCCACCCGACCCCAGCCAGGGCTGTGCTCGGGGATGTCCCTGCAGCGTCACATCCAAGGGGTTTCTCCTCCAGGACAGGCAGATCCCCACCCTAATCCATACCATGATCCACCAATGCCCTGATCCATCCCTGCCCTGCCCGGGGGGCTCCGAGGGGGCTCCAGCCCCTCGCTCGCCATCGCCTCCCGCCCAGGGAAACACAAATAATTAACACAAATAATTAAAGACCAGCGCGTGGATGCGGCGGCCGCGGCTCAACAGGTCGCTCGTCCCGTCCCGCCGAGGCCGAGGCGGGCCCGGCCCGGCCGGGGGGAGTCGTGGGCTGGGCCGGGGGCACCGGGACCCCCGCGCTGGGCCGGGGGAGGGGGGACCGCCCCGGGCCCCTCCAGGGCCCCTTCAGCAGGGCCCCGGTGTTCCCTCACAGACCCCTCCGGACCCCCCCCCTACTCCCCTCAGGTCTCCCGGTGCTCCCTCACAGAACCCCTCAGACTCCACAGCCCCGTTCTACTCCCTCAGAGACCCTCCCGCTCCCCTCAGACCCTCTGTGCTTCCTCACAGACCCCTCAGACCCTCCAGCCCCGCTGCGCTCCCTCAGAGACCCCACAGAGCCCCCGCTCCCCTCAGACCCCCTGTGCTCCCTCCCAGACCCCCCAAACCCCCTCGTGCTCCCTCCCAGACGCCTCAGACCCCCCCGGTCCCCCTGTGCCCCCTCACGGAGCCCTCCCAGAGCACTCAGCCCCCCCCGTACTCCCTCCCAGCCCCTCCAGGTGCCCTCAGCCCCCCCGCCCCGCTGCCCCCGCACCTCTCCCGCCGCGGTCCGGCTCTGGCGGACGCACACGGGCAGGGCCGCAGCACCCCCCGCTCGGGCCGCAGCGCTCCCGCCGCCCTCGCGCCTCGCGCTCCGCCCGCGGCCGGAGCTACTTCCTCTTAAAGGGGCCGCCCCCGGGGGAGGGAGCGCGAGGGGCGGGGCAGACAAGTCGTGGTTTATTGTATTATAAAATAATTACTACAGTTTATTTTACTCTGTCTTCTTTTATTCTATTCCAATATTTTTTATTACAATGTTTTATTTTTATTTATTTTCTAGTCCAATATTTTATTTTCTATTCCAATATTTTATTTGCTATCCCATATTTTATTTTCTATTCCAGTATTTTATTTCATTTAATTCTATTTTATTTTATTGTATTTGATCTCACTTATTTATTTTATTTTATTCTTACTTTATTTCCTATTTATTGTATCTCTTTTATTCTATTTTTTTCGTTTCTAGTTGGTTTTGTTTTCCATTATATTTTCTTTCCTTTATTTCTTTTTCTTGTTATTTTATTTTCTTTTATTTTATTCTGTTTATTTTTCCTTTTATTCCATTCTATTTATTTCCTTTTCTCCTATTTTATCTACTTTAGTTTATTTTCTTTTATTCTGTTTATATATTTATTACTTATTTTTATTATTTTTCCTCTTATTCAAATATATTTATTTTATCCTATTTTATTTATCAATTTCTCTTTTATTTTTCCTTTTATTTCATTATCCTTATTTCCTTTTCTTCTATTTTATTTACCTTATTCTATTTTATTTCTCTTTCCTCTATTAATATATGTATTCTTTTCTTTTTATTTTTTCTTTTATTCAATTCTATTTATTTTATTCTATTTTATTTATTTCCTTTTCTTCTATTTATTTTTTCTTCTTTTTTTTTATTTTTCCTTTTATTCCATTCTACTTATTTCCCTTTCCTCTATTTCATTTCCCTTATTCTATTTTATTTCCTTCTATTCATATACGTATTATTTTCTTCTTTTTATTATTTTTTAATTTTATTCCATTCTGCTTATTTCTATCCTTTTATTCTGTTTTGTTTATTCTCTTTTATTCCCCTTTATTCATTATTTGGGGATTTTTGGGAGCAGGGACAGCCCAGGGATGCTCAGGGTGTCCCACTGAGCCCTTCCCTGGGATTAAACGATCCATGGAAATTGGTGGAGCTGGGACAGAGCCCAGGGTGGGGGGTCAGAAGGACATGACGAGCCCTGGAAAAGGCCAAAACGCTCCAAAACCCAAAGGAAAAATTAAAAGAAGGTTGGAAAGGCCCCAGCCCTGGACTTCGAGGTCATAAAAAAGAGAAGCAGCAGAACCAGGGGTGGTTCAAAGGGAATTTCTCACCCACATCAGGACCAGGGCGGTCAAATCCAGTGGGAAATCCCTGGGAAGCCCCAAAACAAGAGGTGACGAAACCTGAGCTGTTCCCCACACCCCACAGAGCTCCCTCCCCTGCCCCCCATCCTGCATCCCAAGGGTTTTTCCAAGGCCTTTGACACCACCGCTGGAGTCCGGAGATCTCAGGTGCCCTCTGACCTCCCCAGAGCCCAGTTCACCCCCAGCCCAGCTGTGCCACAGCCCCCGGGTGAAGCTCCAGCTCTCCCACTGTTCCCAGCTGGCACAGCCTCATCCAGCAGCTTGGATGCTCCTGCAGAGCAGCTGATCCCACTCCTGCTCCAGCCCCGGGGCCTCCCTGCCTGGATTCCTCCCTGGCACAGATGATGCCATGTCCGAGGGCAGAGCCTGTGTGCCAGGGGCACTGCCAGCTCCTGCCTGGTCCAGGATCATGGAATTGAGGGTGGAAGGGAGCACTGGAGCTCACCTGGCCCAGCCTCCCTCCCTGAGCACTCAGGATTGTGTCCAGGTGGCTCTGGAATAGCTCCACTGAGGGAGACTCCACCACTTCCCTGGGCAGCTGTGCCAGTGCTTGGGCACCTGTGGAGCAAAGTTCTTCCCATGTCCAGGTGGAATTTCCTGTGCTGCAGTTCCTGCCCATCCCACAGCAGAGCCTGGTCCCTGCTTTGCCCCCTCCCTGCAGCCCCCCCAGCCACAGATCTGTCCCAGGACACTGGAGCAGAGGACCTGGATCCCTCCTCTGCCAGGAACAGCCTGGGCGCTGCCGGGGCAGAGCTGGTGGCTCCTGACTCAGCTCCAGGGAATTTCTGTCCCAGGATGGTTCTCCCAGGTTCTGGTTGGACTGGAAACCTCTGGAGCACCAGCAAAGCCAAGGCCTCATTCCTGCTGTGGCAGGACAGGGCCCTAACCCTCACCTCAATGTCACCAATGTCACTGGGGCCAAGGGGAAGAGAAGAAGGAGCCCATTTCTGGCCTCATTAAGAGCAGAGCTCCCATTCTCCCAAATATTGGATTTTAGCTGCTGCCACGATCCAAAAACCAGAACAATTAATGCAGCTTTTAACTGAGATTGTCTATTTTTTCCTGTAATTTCACATTAGTGACAGGGCCTTCCAAAGGGCTGGTGGTAGGGATTCCTCATCTCCTTTTGGAAGGCAAGGAGCTTTAGGAATGAGATTCCTCTTAATCTCCCCCAAAGACACACCATTCAGTGCTGGGGCAAATCCACAGTTTGGGTCCATCCAAACTGGAAGGGTCTTATAAAAGGACCACTTACAAAGCCAAAAAATTTAACTTTGTTTTGAAAGTTTATTGGATCATCTTGACACAAAATCATTACAGCAGCTTGTGGTATGTTGTTTTCTTTATCTTTTTTTTTTCTTTTTTAAGGGAATGTTGATAGCAAATAAATTTGTGAATGTAACACGTCATACAGTTTCAAAATTCTAGAATCACTGCACAGGATTCTGTAAGAGACTCTACATGCTAAAGTGACAGTTTTCATCCATGGATTTAAAAAAAAAACAAAAACAAAAACAAAAGAACCACTAATTGAGGAACATTATCCTTTAAGACAATTTTAATATGTTCAGTTTCTAATACACAACTGGCTAACCAAGGGAGGCTGACCAAAACCAAACCCTCCACGGCCCAGCAGCACGGTCAGACCCAGAGCTGGGCCTGCCATGAACCCCGAGCACCAGAGCAGAGCCTCGGCCAAAATCCCTCCTGGGGGAAGAGTGTGAAGAGCACAAGACATGTGTAAAGCACAGGACATCACCCAAGGGATAAGATCAACACCTCATCCTGCTCCCTGCGTGGGGTTTTGGGTTTTTAGGAGGGGTGGTGGTGCTGGAGATGTGCAGACCCACCCAGCTCTGCCCTGGGCACCTTCCTGGAGAGCAAACCCCTCCTGAGCTGTGCCTTGAACAAAACCGTTCCAGGAGTTCTCCGTTTGCTGGGTGTGGAACAGGGAGGGAAAAAACTGAGGGGGGATAAAAAAATAAATGGAAAGCAAGGGATGTTGGAGAAGGACATCAGCTGAGCATCCCTGCAGGACAGTGACATCCCTTTCCAGTGGTTACTCCACAAGATTTCAATGGTGCAGAATGGGCTTTACTTCAGACCCTCCTTTTTCTCTCTAAAGCAACCTGCTGCAGACCCAAAGCTGCAGCTCCTCACCCCCACCCCATCCTGAACCTGGAGAGGGGATCCCAATCCATCCCCAACCCCATCCTGCACCTGGAGAGGGGATCCCAATCCACCCCCTTCCCTCCTGCACCCAAGGCAGGGAGAGGGGATCCTCACCCACCTCCATCCCCTCCTGCACCTCAGCAGGGAGAGCAGCTCCTCATCCCCCCTCCTTCCTGCATCCTGTCTGGGAGGGAGGCTCCCAACCCATCCCTCTCTCCCGCCCCGGGGCAGGGAGGGCTCTGCCAAATCTGCTCCCACTGGTGGGAGGACAGGGCCAGGGGACACTGTGGGGACACTGTGGGGACACTGTGGGGACACTGTGGGGACACTGTGGGGACACTGGGCCAGCTGGCTGCAGAGCCCAGAGGGAGGGCAGGGTTGTACCTGCACGCTGAGCACGAGGGGTTTCTCTGACCTGGCCATGGTGAACCTCGGCCGGGGAGCGGAAGGATAAAAGCACAGAACAGACCCCTTTGGAGTTCCAGTTTCTTGCTACAGCTTCACTGTTCAGGAATGTGAAATCGAAGTGGACTCATCAAACACAGCAGCAGAGCCAGGTCAGAGGGGACAGGCCTGACAGACTCTGTGTGTGGGGCGGGCCCGGGAGCAGAGACCAAACAGCAACACTTCAGCCCCTCTCCTGCTCCCGCTCTCGACTCTTCCAGCTGTCACTAAAAGAAGGTTAAGGCTCAAGGCAACTACTATAGACAAACTCAAACATCCCAGTTCTCACAGGGCTCCTTTGGATTAGCTCAAGGAGATGGAGGATGTTTATATGCTGATCACAATAGATCTTGAGATAATAATAATAATAAATCATATATATATATATAAAAAAAACCAAAACAAAAAAGAGGCCTTCAGGTCCAGCACCAGCCTCTGCTAGAAATATACATCAACTACAGCAGCCCTGAATATTCCATGGCTAAGGATTCAGTCAACCTTCCCTGGCATGAGCACAAGCAACAGACTGTGCCACTGGTGATAAAGTCCTGCTCATCCCTCGTCCCACGCAGATGGAAGGTCATGGGATCATCATGAGCTGCTGAATAAATAGTGCCCTCCCCTCCCTCCCTCCCCTCCTCCCCTCCCTCCTCCAGTCATGTCACCAGGATCTCTTTGGGCTAGAAAGGGTTAACACCACGGTCTGTAAAAAGTTGTGAAATAAAAAGGTAACATACAGCCTGAAAATGCCTAAACTGCAACCGAAGGTGGAGGGAACGGGAAGCACGTGCCTCAGGGTAGTACATGCGTACGAGGGAGCAACTTAACACTTGGGTCTGCCCAGCTTTACACAAAGGCTGTGTTCCTTGTCCTTGGAATATGGGAGAGGGAAGGTTCAGCACTTGGACAATGTCTCTTTCATCTCGTCCAACAAGTTGCTAAGCAGGGTGGAATCGTTACATTTCCCATCTATGGATACTGAGTTCTCTCCCTTGGAAAGGAAAAAAAGAAAAAGGAAAAAAATCCATCAGCTCCTGTTCCAAGCTGGGATAATTTTGTTCCCAAGCTCAGGGAAGAGGCAGTGGAAGAGAGGGAAAGCTGCAGATTTGGCTTCTCTCACCTTTTTTACCAGTAGGCAGACGTGATGGCCCTGGATAGAACGGCTGTACATGGATGCACAGGAATCAACACGTTCCACAACTGCAAAGGAACAGGAATTCCAGTTAGTGGGACAACTTTTAACACAAGCCTTGCTTCCCACTGCTCTGCTTGGCCTGAGGAACAGGAGCTGCTGCAGAGGGGAGGAGGAAGTCGGGGTTAAGATGTGCCTGGCTCCTCCTGGCTTCTGGCTGGGACATTTCACAATAACGAGGTGACTCATTTGTCTCCTAAGGCACAAACGTTCTGTGGCACAAACACTGCTCAGAATGCAGATTTCTTCCCCAGAAATACTTCCAGTGAGGCAATGTCTAGTGCAAACACCAGAGCATGATGAAACAGCCTGTTGTTTCGCTTCAGCCAGCGTGTGTTTTTATTAATAAATCCAAACCTGGGTTGCTGGGGCCTCTCCCTCACTGAAACGAAGCCCTGAAGATCAAACCCACCCTCCAGGGAGCACTCACAGCCTGTGATCACACATGTGATACCTGTCACATGCCTCGCTGGGCTGCAGGAAAGCCCCAGGGACAGAAGGAGAGTCCATTTTGAAGAACACTGCCTGCTTTGAGTATTAAAAAACTGGAAAAAACTCATCTCCCAAGTTTATTTAATCTGGCCATCCCCTGCTCCTGTGGTTGCTGAGGCCACGGAGTGTCGTGCTTGCCAAGCACAGCAGAGATTTTAGGATGTGGAGCTTTGCAGAAGGTTCTGCATCCAGGAACACTCACCTGAAAAATGATGATGAAAACAGATCTTTGCCAGTAGATGCTGGAAAGAAATGCTAATTCCATCTACTTTAATAGAACTCATGTGCAGATCTCCAGACTCCAGGAGCTTGGCAAAAGCATCACTGCAAAACAGGGAGGGAAGGAAACACTTCACCAGAAATGCAAGGGGAATGTGCCCCACTAGTCCCACGGAGACATGGCAGGATGGAAAAGTCTCAGTACCACCAAGCTCTAGGAAAATGGGTTTGCAGCAAACATGGGAAGCACACCCCAGACTCCTCTGGAGCATCCTGACCTCAACCAGAGCTGCCCCTGCCACACAGGGCACAGAGCTCCTTCTGCACAGCCCCTGGGAACAAGGCACTGGACACAATCTAATGTTTCAAACACCACCCAGGACACTGAGCTGGGACAGAGCCCCCAGGACAGGCAGAGCCAGGAGCAGCTCAGCTGCAGCCCAGCTCAGCCCCCCTGGGGCAGCACTTACCTATAGCAAGGCGTGGTGATCAAGTATGAAGCACAACTGAAGTGCAATTTGAAATCTAGTTTTTCATGGGTTGAACCTTCATCATTCTGCAACAGGTCAGAGGAAAGGAGTTGAATGGGAGCTCTGAGGCAGCAAGAGGAGGCACCACCCCCACCTACCAGGCACCAACAAGGACTGCAGGGCTCAGTTCCCTCTGAAATCCTGAAGGATCAGTCTGGGAACAACCATCCCACTAAAACATCAGCCCACTCATGAATTTGGGCAGCTGGGCTGATACAGGTAAGGCACAAGGGGCTGCAGGTTCTGCCTGCACTCTGCTGGAATAAACTGAGCAGACTGAGTTTAAACTAACACTTGGGGATGTGCTTTTACAGCTCATTATTTCCTGAGCAAAATTACAAATTAGTATCTCCCAGATTCTTAGATACTGAAAATAGGACTAGCCTGCTATTTTTAAGAAACCCTTAAAATAGAGATAATGGCTGACTCAGGAGTAGCCACAACTGTCTCTGTTACTTCCTCTGAGCTGTTCATGCAGCTCCTTCATTAATTGTACTGAAATAAGATCAAAACCCCACAGAGTCTTGGACAAGTCAATACTCATCAAACAATGCCTTCAGATAACCTCACTCTTGCTCTGGGTTTCCATCCTTACTAACTCTATTAATCCTTATTACTGCTCTCCAGCTGATGATGAGCAGGAACAGCCCCTGGTTCCACGTTTCCCAGATCCCTGCAGGGATTCTCCAGCTGACAGTGTGGCCCCTGTGCCAGGCTGCCCTGCTCACACACTGCCAGCAGTGACACTGAGGACACCCTTTGCACAAGATGTCCTGTGCAAACACTCCTCTCACAGCACAGGGGTGGTGCAGCAGAGATGAAATGATGCCTAAAGAAAGCTCCAGAGCAGAACTTCCCACCCAGGTCCAGCTCCCTGACACAGATCCAAAGGAAGCAGAAGCAGTTGAGAGCTGCACTTACTTTGACTATAAAGGACAGTGTTCCTTTTAACTTCTGAGCCATAATAATACTCTGAAGGGTAAACACAAACTGGGCTTCATTAGAGATTCCTGGCGTGGAGAGAGGAGAGGGAGAAGTCAGGTCAGAACACGGCTTCCAGATCTAAGTCATGGTTAGAATAAACTCATTTATGTGCTGACTATTTTTGAACCAAGTTTGGAATTTTCTGTGTAGTTGGAAGAGAGTTCCACACACAATTCCTGTGGTGAGTCAGTGTTACAGCACTTGGGTCTCTCGGAAACAGCATTTGGTAGAGGTTATTGAGCAAGTGCCTGGGCAGAGTATGGCACAGGGACACACATTTAAACTATTTGTATAACTGGAAATTATAAAGCTTTCAGAGCTAATTTGAATTCTAATGTTTCTACATTTTCCTTTTAATATACAAGTCTGTGTCAAGAATAGAATTAAAACCAAATTAAATACCCCACTGCTTTTCATGGGGGACCAAAATGCACCCTGAGGCCAGCAGAGCCCTCTGTGAGCTGGTTCAGTATTCAAATGAACTCTCTGCTGAAGGAAGTGAAATCCAAGGAAGTTCAGGACTTCAGCTGTTCTACTGTGCTCTGTGCAAAGCCACTGTCCTTCATTTCTGTGTCTCAACACTCCTGAAGGGCTCAGCTCCCCTCCTTACACATCCTCACCCCAAACCTTCACTGCATGAGGCCTCTGCCACTGAAACAACTCCAGAATAAATCCAGAGTGGATTCTAATGGTTCACAAACCTCTAACTCGGGTTCATTTTAAATCTCATAGCAAACTCCTCATGAATGTTGGGTTTTTGTAGTCCAAGGGGTGCCAGCCTGCAGGCAGCTGGAGAAAGAACTGGGACACTGGGACTCCCAGCCCTAAATTAAGGCTTTGCTCTTGCTGCACAGAACCACCTGTGTCACAGCCACACTCTGAGGAGGTTTATCCTCTCCAGGGAACTGTGGGAAAGCCAGCCAGGCAGAGACAAGGTTTTTTAGGCAAGCAGCAGGAAGTTCAAACCATTCTTCCCACAGGAGGGCAGTGCAGGGCCAGCCACAGTCCAAGAACCCCGTGCAAAGCCTACCAGGGGGGAGCTGGAAGGGCACAGGAATCCCATCGTGGACTGAGGATCCTTCTGGTCGGAGCATTTTAGTGTTGAGAGAGTCCAGGACATTTAGTTCCATGCTCTTAAGGAAGCTAGTGCTTTTGTTCTCAAAGATGACAGACACAGTCACTTGACTGTCGTTCTGGAGGTTTCCTTGGATGTCATAGGTCTGCAAATGAAGGGAAAAGTGTCACAGGAAAGGTTCAGAGACTCCAAGGAGCAGAACACAGCACCAGGGTAAAACAAGGCTCAAAAGGAGCTAATGAACACACACTGGTGACGAGGTTTGTGGTGGGAAAATATCAACTTAAAAACTAAAGTGGGACACCCAAA